CCCTTTAGTCTCAAGCTGGATAATAACGAATATTTCCTGCGGTCTAAATCGAAAACTTCTCAAAAATTGTATGATGAACTTCGGACTTTATTACCGCAATATTAACTTAAATGGTCCATTTGATCACCCTGCCCTAGATCCAAACCCTACTGTAAACCCTGAAACCCCAACTCCCAGAACCCTTATATATAACTCTTATAGTCCACTTTTAATATTTCAGCTGAATAGTGCGGTAATAACCATGTCCGTGTAAAAGAAGCCACCCTTATAAGCTTATAAGGCACGATAAATTACACACGCTCGAAACCGTGGAGGCAGGGCAAGTACAAATACATTTTCAAGTTTAAGGCAATGAGAACTTCAACAAAATTTTAAAAACTAACCCAACAAAGATTAAATATAAAACTAAATACACACGCAATAGATCTGAATGTGTTTTGTCCCCGAGCACAGTGCCAGCATCCCTTCATCCCAAGCTGGCACCGTGCTAGGACCTTTAAGAAAAGCAGGGGTCTACAGTGCCACACCGCAGTGCCCCTCAAAGGTTAACACTTCCGCAACTTTATCCAACTGGGCTGGCCTGACTAGTCTGGAAATTCTACAAAAGAAGCTGGGGATATCTAGTAACAAGATAGGGATATCTCTACTTTCTAACATGATGATAACTAGTCAGCCCAACTTCGACACTCTCTTAACATTAGACCCTACATTTTAGTGCGTTACATACTAGTTGACAACAGCACACTTTAGAGTCGGTTACAAGCTACTTATAGGCATATTTAAACTAAAAGGAACAAAAAGAATAAAAAACACCCATTTCAATACTAATGTTTTAAATGGAAATTTAACATAAATGATCCCCAATTCGTTGATAAAGCTGATTATGCTGATTATGCTAATTATGCTGTTTTTCAGATAGTAGTATTCTCAACATTGCTTTTTGTCGAACACAAAGAATGAAAATTGAAGAGTTTCTTTTGTGATAAGTTTCAAACATAGGATAATTCATCAACCCATTATTTGTACACACGACTCAGTGATCTATTAATAGAACAACATAATCAGTGTACAAATCCGATCATTGTGTTAATTTGCCTTATGTTTGATACCATAACCTACACCATTCAGCCAAGCAATCGGTACGGTATCAGAAAATTTCTCGAGATCCAAAACTTGAAATTTAATGAAACTATATAATGTCGGCAAAATTAGCATAATAATGAGCATTTTTAAGCATAATTTTGGAAATGAGGATCAATCCACACACAAGTATAACACTTATTGTAAAACTAACAGTAATTTATTAATGAAAAAGTAACCACATAGCATAATACATATTGAGTAGATTGATTGATTCATGATAAGACACTTGTAAGGACGTATACAGTTGAACCTCGAATTACCGGAACTCTAGCGAGAATTAAAATGTTCCCGGTATAAATAAAGGGAGCCACACAGCACAGTGTAAAGTTATGACAGAGTCACGGTAAACAGAGGTTCACGGTAAATCGGGGTTTAACTACATCTGTTGTTTCGAGGGCCACATCAAACCTTTCCTCGTATTCTCCACTCTAAGATACTATATTCAATAAAAGGGAGCTTTCAAAATGGAGCAATGATTCAGAGAAAAAGAGGAAAGTAGCTAAAAAAAAGGACAAATGATGTCATTTAAAAGAGTCACATTCTAAATCGACCTCTTTATAAACGCCTTAATAAAGTTTGTACCATAACATATATAAGTTTCATAACAATTGTAATGTATAACTACCTATCAGTTACATATATTATATCAAATCAGGAGATAACAATATAACATACTATAATATATACCATAACAATAGTATAATTATTAATTACGTCCAAACCCTGAAGACTTGGACGCAAAAGTAAACAGTTTTGATGGATTAATTTTAGAATATGGAATATGTCGTAAACTTGACTTGACAGCTTTCAGTAGACGCTTTCTCTATGATAAACTATTATCGCAATATAATATATTCAAACAATTATCATTAAAGGGCTGATAACTATAAAAATGGCCATAATACGCCAAATTAACTACTTTAAATACCAACAAGCAAAAATCTGTATAAAACATACTTTAATTGAGCAAAATAGCTACTATATACAGCAGTTAGCACGTGCACAGTTAACACGTGCACAGTTAGCACGCAGTGAGTACGCTTTGAAAAGTGAGTTAAGAAAATAAGTTAGGTGAAAACAAATCAATAAATTAAAGCGAACATGAAAAATCATATCGTATTACATATTCAAAATTAAAATTTTAACTTGTGCTCCAACAATCATAAGTTATAAAAACGTAACGCGACGTAACCATGGAAACGCGACGTAACGCGAACGGTTTCAATAAAATCGAGTAGACAACGAACTTTCATATCACATGACAAAACAGTTAATCAACTAAATCATAAAAGAATTTAACAACGAAAATTGGTAAATAGAAATTATTTAATGCTGGAGGATCATAGAAAAACTATTTTTAAGAGATTTCTAAAGTTTGGATTTGTACCACAACACGTATTACTACTGGTAGTAGTAGTACTAATAATAGTAATTATTCTGCCCAAAATAATCAAAGACCACGCCAATCATGAGAAAATTTACAGAATTAAAAAGACGAAATCGTTAACCATCATACACATACATAAGTAAAACAGGGCATTTGTTGATCTTGGATGAGAATTATACAAAAGAAGTTAAAAATCCAATTTGGCATCTTATTATAATTGTTAACGAAAACTATGGATGATGCAACATTTACAGAGGTAAGTTAATCGACAGTCGACTGTCGTCATGAAAAAGTTCAGTCTGAAATCAATTTGGAACAACCTTTCCCTCTTATTTAGAATCCCTTATTAGTTAATAAAACGTTTATTTTAAACAATAGTAATACGAATAGCACATGCAATTTGACTTTCTAAAAGATTGTAACTTATATCATAACAGTACATAAACTTGGTTTAATAAGGGAAAAATAGATGATAGCATAATAAAATATGAAAGTAAATAAATTAATTTTAATTATCATAACATGAAAAGCTGTCAAGCCAAGGTTTCAAATTTAATGAAAAAATATTGTGATATTTTAGATATTATTTGAAGTATACAAATATCAATATTTGGGCAAAGTAGTCCACACGAAGCCAACCGAAAAGCAAATTTAGAGTATCAGTGCAGAGGAAGCCGCACCGAGTTAGCTATGATAAAGAGCAATGGCAGCAACAAACAACTTAGCAGGTTACTAAGCGACTGGTTACTAAGCAGGTTACTTAGCAGGTTACTAAGCAGGTTACTAAGCGACTGGTTCGTCGGACCAACATTTGCCATCTTACCCACCGAGAGGGTAGCACGTGACCACCTGTAATTCTACGACCCACTTCACAAGAACACAAAATACCATCCTCGCATCCTTCAATCCCACACTCAGATCCCACAAAACATCACCCTGTTTCTCACGTGACGTCACCACAACAACACGTGACGTCACGTGACAACATCGCCCTGTTTCAGGCTCAACTAAACAGTCTCTAAAAACGCATAACATATATAAAACTTGTTGATTGTTTAATCAGATGAACTAACATTATTTCATAACCACAAAACCCAATGATCAAGCGCCCAAAATTTGCAATCACAGGAAAAACTTAAAGAAAATAATCGTAGATAATATGTAACGGTATGAAACATGCAGACATGAAAGTGTAACCAGTTACCAATTTGTAACAAGTTACCAATTTGTGTAACTAGTTACCAATAATATAAAGTTCAAACGTTATTAAACGTGGCAACCACCAACAAACAGGAAAGATATAAATTGACTAAGATAATCGTAAAAGCTACCAGAAACACATTTTAATGAACATCACAGAAAAGCAAATTTCTTAGAAAAGTTTAATTACCTAGGTTCCGTTATTAGATTTAAGTAAATAAGGATTCACCCTGGATGGAGCTGGAGGGCAGCATCAGCCGGCTTTTAAATGGCTCTTGACCGGCTCTTGACCTGCACTTGACGGGCGGTACTATTGTCCCAGCAGCCTCCAGCCCCCTACACGCTATAAAAACTCTCCAGGGAGAGCCTAATGTAAGGGATACCGGGCAATTTCAACAAACGGGTGACACAACAATAAGTTACAATATAGCAAAATAAATTTTTATCAATATAAGTGTACTTTACGTGGTAAAAAGAACAGTTTGTCCTCGTTACACGTCTTACAAGACCGAGATAAACATTTCAGACTTTTCTGTTGTACCACATGAGCAATGCTGGATCAGAGACTGATTAGAGACTAAGTCAGAGACTAAGTCAGAGACTAAGTCAGAGACTAAGTCAGAGACTAAGTCAGAGACTAAGTCAGAGACTAAGTCAGAGACTAAGTCAGAGACTAAGTCAGAGACTAAGTCAGAGACTGAGTCAGAGACTTAGTCAGAGACTAAGTCAGAGACTAAGTCAGAGACTAAGTCAGAGACTAAGTCAGAGACTAAGTCAGAGACTAAGTCAGAGACTAAGTCAGAGACTAAGTCAGAGACTGAGTCAGAGACTGAGTCAGAGACTGAGTCAGAGACTAAGTCAGAGACTAAGTCAGAGACTAAGTCAGAGACTAAGTCAGAGACTAAGTCAGAGACTAAGTCAGAGACTAAGTCAGAGACTAAGTCAGAGACTAAGTCAGAGACTAAGTCAGAGACTAAGTCAGAGACTAAGTCAGAGACTAAGTCAGAGACTAAGTCAGAGACTAAGTCAGAGCTGTATTTCATACCGAATGTTAATTTGAAGAGCGAGCAACCTCCCGCAGAACCAGCATTGCTCTCTGTGAACTGGTAGACCTGATGACCAATATAAAGGTTTGTAAGTTACTAATCAGAGTATGACTATCAAAACATAACAATACCACGTGACGTCATCACAACACCACGTCACGTGACGTCATCACAATACCACATGCATTTACAACACATGCTATAAACTACCGCGTGTTCTTATCTACCATCTTATATTATATCACATTTTAAGAGACAATTATCTTTTCTATAGCAAGATTTTAGGCTAACATTACACTGCAATGGTGCGTTGATAGTCGAGTCTAGCAGACATGTGTACGATGAAAGTTACAAAAATGAGATCCATTATCTCCAGAGGGGATAGTTGACTCAATACCACGTGACGTCATCACAACACCACGTGACGTCATCACAATACCACGTGACTGGACTACCAACGAAACTAAAAGAGATCAACGTAATCAACTTTAATAGATCAACCCAAAACAACGTTTAATACAACTAGCAATTTTGTTACAAAAGAGACATTTTAGCGTATTTCTAATTCTCCTCGTAGTTCTTGTTTTTGCTAATTTTAAGCCCATATCTTCAATAATCACTAATACTGCATTGGGCAACAAGGTCTGACTTTCTAAAAACACGCATACATATTGCTAGACACCAGTTGTTTGAAAGATATATATATTAATAAGGGCGAACCACAATTAACCTGTGATCAAGAGGCCGAGAAACAAGAAGGGAAGTTATCAAATATTCTGTTTTCAGACCGTTAATCTGCATCACAAGTTAATTTTGGCCCACCCTGTATATTCAACATAACATAAATGACTTAGAAAAAAAGATAAGAAATATCTCGTCACACGATACAAATCACTAATCATAATAAGCTAACAAAATGTTATGGCAAGAAAAAATATACGTTTTATTCTATATATTTCTAACAATTACAAAGATGCAAATTTGCAAAATATCTTATCATTTATTATTACAAACGAGCGTTCAGAAAGTTTGGCGGAAGCCAGGAAGGTACCATGTGCCGGGTTGGCAAGGAGCCAGCAAGTTCACTCTCAAGATGACGTCAGGAATTAGGATGAGTTAGGAGTGGTAGTGTTGGTCTGGCTGGGCGGGGACTGTTGACCCATGTTCAGTGGGGACACACTACCGCTGAGAGGAGTACTGATAAGAACTTTCTACCGAGCAACATTCAACAACCTAATAATTTCGAAATGCTGAAAAAAAACATGTAAAGAAAAAGTTCAGCAACAAAATAAACAACAAAAACGAACTATGAAAAGAAGTTTCAGAGAAATGAGACGCGCACAAACCTAGCAAGAGAGGAAGCAATATTCATGTTGGTGAGAGAGTTGGAGGTCTGCAGTCCGGAGCTGTTGTTTCCACTGCTCATTGGCAGACTCAGTCCGGAGAGACCGGACATGGATGTGTTGTTCATGCCGGGGTTATTCAGTCCCACGTTGTTCAGACTAGAGCTAGAGTTGGAGCTCACCAGACCCGATGTGGAGAGTCCACTTAGAGAATTTATCCCAGAGTTCATCCCACCGGACATACCAGAGTTCATGCCACTAGACATTCCGGAGTTCATCCCACCGGACATACCGGAGTTCATGCCTGCGCCCATCCCGGGATTCATTGATCCCATAGAACTGATTCCGGAGTTCATGCCGGAGTTCATCCCAGAGCCGCCCATACCAGACATACCAGACATACCAGACATGCCAGACATGCTGGACATGCTGGACATGCTAGTTATATTAGAGAGACCTCCCAGGTTCCCACCTCCATTCACACCACTTCCACTGGACATGCCACCCATAGAACTGGAGCTCATACCGTTGTTCATGCCACCTGGGAATAGTGTGCTAAGTTAGACAGTTAGACTATCATCTCGGTGTGAATCTCGGTGATTTGTTATTTTCATCACCTCTAATAAGCAAACGTCTCTCACTCAGACATGAAATCTACAAATTACCGCGCTATATGCGAACTCTTCTCCAAAATAAAAATTTCTACTTTGTGTATGAGAGTAATGACATTGTGACGTGGCCAACTTGTGTGGATTCTAGCAAATGTGTCACGTGGTGTAAATACTGTTCTCTGATTGGTTGGTTTGTGTCACGTGGTGTAAATACTGTGCTCTGATTGGTCAGTTTCCAAATACTACTCACTGTTCAGACTAGATCCAGATCCAGCCCCCAGACTCCCGAAAGCGGACTGCATACCGCCCATGTTGCCCAGCGAACTAGACATACCGGGTCCACCTCCCATCCTCTCACTACCTCCACTGGACATGCCGGACATGCCGGACATGCCGGACATGCTCTGTTGCTGCATGTTACCGGACATCCCTTGCTGCTGCTGCTGCTGTTGTTGTTGCTGCTGCATGTTGTTGGAGGACTGGCTCTGCTTGCAACTCTGCCACCACAACTGTGCCGCCTGGACAAGTGGTATTTAGATACACTCACATAGTTTTAAAACATTTTACTTAAACATTTTACTTTAACATTTTTAAGAGATTGAAGAGAAAAGATAACAATTAGGAGAAGAAGGAGAATATTGTGCGAGGGACCCCGATAAGAGATAACATTCAGCATACTCACGTCGTTACCGTAGACACTAGCAATAGTGGTGTACAGTTGGAAGAGCTGTTGGTCAGTAGGCTGAGGGTTTTGTTGCTGTTGGACCTGCTGAGCCGCCTGCTGCGAGAAGGGAGGCGTTAGGTTACCATGGTTACCACCACCTTCCTGAATAAATAGTGGGCCACAATCAATTTCTTATCTCAAGATAATATCAAGGTGTTAGTAAGGTGTTAGTTATTGATATTAACATTACAAATGGAACCACCTTTAAAAATGAGCAAGGGTAAGTTATAACTTATATTGCTGCTCACAAAGCAGAGAAGACTGATAACAAATAGAGGAGAGAAAGCAGCAGCTGTTATAATTATCATTTAGATGATCAGGTGCCAGCTATTTCAGAGGTATTATCGTTACGAGTAATACTCTTATTGGACTATGTTCGGAATGCTTATGTATATGGAGGGATGAAAAGTAAGCCTATAACTTTAAATAGTTGCTGATACCTTGAGGTAGCTAATACTGTAATATTGTAACTGTCTTCAGAGTAAAATCCAGTGCAAAGATACTTTTTTCTTGGTTTATTTTATTCAGTCATTTATTAATTATTCGGTTATTTCATTGTACATTAAGTGATGAATAAGTAAGTTAAATAAAGTGTGAAATAAGATTGTAACAAACCATATCGACCTGTTGATGCTGCATCTGCTGCTGCTGCTGTTGCATTAACTGTGCTATCTGGTGATAGAACTGGTACTCTCCACTCGCTGAAATTAAATAGTTGTCACGTGGTGTAAATACTGTGCTCTGATTGGTTGGTTTGTGTCACGTGGTGTAAATACTGTGCTCTGATTGGTTGGTTTGTGTCACGTGGTGTAAATACTGTGCTCTGATTGGTTGGTTTGTGTCACGTGGAGTAAATACTGTGCTCTGATTGGTTGGTTTGTGTCACGTGGTGTAAATACTGTGCTCTGATTGGTTGGTTTGTGTCACGTGGTGTAAATACTGTGCTCTGATTGGTTGGTTTGTGTCACGTGGTGTAAATACTGTGCTCTGATTGGTTGGTTTGTGTCACGTGGTGTAAATACTGTGCTCTGATTGGTTGGTTTGTGTCACGTGGTGTAAATACTGTGCTCTGATTGGTTGGTTTGTGTCACGTGGTGTAAATACTGTGCTCTGATTGGTTGGTTTGTGTCACGTGGTGTAAATACTGTGCTCTGATTGGTTGGCTTGTGTCACGTGGTGTAAATACTGTGCTCTGATTGGTTGGTTTGTGTCACGTGGTGTAAATACTGTGCTATCTGGTGATAGAACTGGTACTCTCCAGTCGCTGAAATTAAATACGTCAAAATAAATTAAACCTTTTTAAATTTAACTATGAAGCAGGGTTATAACTTATACCCAACCATGAACCTGTCAGTCTGAGGTGCTTTCGTTTTAAAAGTTTCGAATTTGGGACAGTTATTAAGTGTTCAGAGCGGGTGGTCATGGTACCCGTCCGACTAGACTACACCTCTGTAGTAATTAATTTATTTAAATGCTATATTTCATTTAAATTCCACGTGATGTTGTTGTAATTGGAGGGTATAACTATCTGGTAGCACATGTTTTATTACATCTTGTGACTAGAATCTATCACACCACATACAAACTGTTTAACTCTAGCAAATAGTTGAATCGTTTTTAAACGCCATGTCGGCAATATACTCTAAATACTTTTATATAACAGCAGGACGAATAAGGTACTAGTAACTAGAGTACAGGTATTTGTGGGGGAATCCTTTTAATTTGAGATTTTAAACATCCGAAAGATAAATACTAGAGTACAAGACGTATTTGTGGGGGAATACTTTAAATTTGAGATTTTAAACATCCGAAAGTTAAATACTAGAGTACAAGTATTTGTGGGGGAATCCTTTAAATTTGAGATTTTAAACATCCGAAAGTTAAATACTAGAGTACAAGTATTTGTGGGGAAATCCTTTAAATTTGAGATTTTAAACATCCGAAAGTTAAATACTAGAGTACAAGTATTTGTGGGGGAATCCTTTACATTTGAGATTTTAAACATCCGGAAGTTATACAAAGGTTCCCATTCCATTACACTGTAGCCTACACTACATTCCCCAGAATAGTCATATACACATCATCATTAGTCTCAATTAGCCACAACTAACTGTATTACTTCTCTTCTGCCCGGTTCAAGGTCCAACCAAACGTCAATGTAACTACAGTGTAACATGTCCACTTTAACTAGTGTTAGTAGAATGTAACATGTCCAGTGTAACTACAGTGTAACATGTCCAGTGTAACTAGTGTAAGTAGAATGTAACATGTCCAGTGTAACTAGTGTAACATGTCCACTTTAACTAGTGTTAGTAGAATGTAACATGTCCAGTGTAACTAGTGTAAGTAGAATGTAACATTTCCAGTGTAACTAGTGTAACATGTCCAGTGTAACTAGTGTAAGTAGAATGTAACATGTCCAGTTTAACTAGAGTGTAACTAGAATGTAACTTGTCCAGTGCTGGCAGAGCTCAGTGCTCACTCTATTTCTAACATGTAGTGATCACTCAACAGATTATGAAGGAGCATGTCACTGGCATGCAGCCGGGGAATGCCAAGCATGCGAGAGAGAGAGAGAGAGAGAGAAAGAGAGCGGGAGAGAAAAGGAGAGTATGGTGGTAAGGTGGCTGAGATTAATATTTGCTTGCCATGTCACACACTGGAGCAAGGACTGGATGAGCTCTTGTGGCCTGGTGAGGAGACGAGCTTGAAGGCTGTACTGCAGTGTTGTTGAATAAAGAAAGCAACTTGTATACTTGCAATTGGGAGGCGGTTAGAAACGTTCTTACAAAGGGGAGCTGATTAGGTCCTTCTAAACTGACTGGTTAATAGCCAGACTAGCACTGCGTCACCGACGGAAAGTGCGGACATATCAGAGCTAGAGGCCAGGCCTCACAGGATCAGGAGTGTCACAGGAGTGTTACAGGAGTGTTATAGGAGTGTTACAGGAGTGTTACAGCGGTGTATTTTGCTCAGCTGTACAATGTACATTCTAGAGCACTGTGGTTCACCGAACTTCAATATTTAAGGACCCTAGATTGGATCCGTGCAGCTTGACAATTTACCTTTTTATAAGACAAGTTTAATATTGAGACTCACTTGAACTGATTGAAATAAAGTGTAAGAACACAGATCTGTGTAAGATAAAACCAGACTAGCTCCAATCTCACAGTGAGGAGGACACTTAACAAGCACGTTAGAGTGGCAGGCGGGAGTGGCTCACTGTCAGGATGGTGTAATGATACTAGGTACACAGGCCGGCAAGGTGGCTAATGGAGGAGAGAGAACTACTCACCATTATACAGGCCCATGTGTACCTGGATCAGAGAATGTGGCCTCATATCAGGGATGGAATGAGATGTTGTGGTACTTATTATTCTGCGTTTAGTATGTATCCTTATCATGCAGAAAGCGGGAGAAAAGCTTTTCATAACGTACTACTGAAGGTTGTCTGCTTAAACAACTGAAATTCAGTTTCAGACTTGACTATTCATTTTAAGTGCTCAGCGTTCCCAGGTCTCTGTACGGTTTATAACAGTCTCACATGTTAATGTTCATAAGCTTGAGAGAGAGAGAGCACTAACTTCTTGTGTTACTAATTGAGAGGCAGTAACTAGTCACAGTGACTAGTTACTCTCCTGGAAACATAACAGCATAGCCAATAAGTCTGGCCCGCTTTAGTGGGTTAAGTGTAGGATTCATCAATTTCGATCTCACCAGTTTAATTTTCATAGTTGCCAAATAAGAAACTGTCATGGTATTATGTACGTGACGTTTTGTACGTGTGTTCACTGTTCATTCCGAGACTAAAGATCTTTCATTTCCAATACCATACCACATTATAGACCTTAAAACATGGACATTGGACACAATACACACACACACACACACACACATACACACATACACACACACCGCATTACACATTGAGTGAGGTCCTTAGCTGTGTAGCGTAAAGTATGGGTCATTTACTATTTACACAGACAATCTACACAGTACAGCACTCCATTTTGGAAGGTTGCCAATAGGTAACTGTTATTAACCGTGGAAAGGACTAAGGACTAGTTACATTGTCGGATATTGGGTGACCCCTCTCTACGTCTGACAGTAGAACTACTGTCTGAAACTAATAGTTCCAACCTAATCTAACAGTGATGTGGTATTCTGTTATCTATCCTTCAAATCGCTACATTTACAAAGCAGTCATACAGGGATATGTTTATTATTTATGGACGATTTGACAAAATAAATCAGAACGTCAACGAGAAAATCATTCATAATTAGATAATGCATTAAAATTAGATATTATGTTAATATTAAAATACAATTATATAATCCTGATAATTTGGTTTATGGATCAGGTGATAAGCCCGCTACTAATACAAGATGATTTAATGAAGTCCTGTAATCTGATCCCAAATAAAGGAGAGCAAGACAAATTACCACTGAATATTAAATATCAGAAGTTTTAATGTAAACTACACATTTACCCGGTATCACTATCATTTTAAACTCCTGTATCACTGCTTCCACTTATAAACCCTACTATACCGTACAGAACTAAAACTTCAAACATTTAATCTTGTGGCTCATAACTCTTATAACTGTTCAAATTATTAGAGCTGTAAGGAACGATATGGAACTACATAGTGTCTTGTAGAGTGTGGAATGTGGATGTCAATTTGATTTTTGCATGTAACTAATGTCTACCTCCGTTGGAAGAAATGTCTACATTCGCTGGATCAAAGAAACATCGCTGCAAAATCTCATCTACACATATTTTCAGTTGGATGTGAAGCTTTATTAATAATACTAATACTAATAGTATTAATGTACCTCACAACAACATTAAATCACTGTTAAGACGTGTAGACACCCACTAGACTGTAACTCAGAGGAGTAACGTGTTCTGGAGTACAGTCAGTATTCCTTATATGTGCATCACGTGGTTCTGGAGTACAGTCAGTACTCCTTATATGGGCATCACGTGGTTCTGGAGTACAGTCAGTATTCTCAGTAACAGTCAGTAAGCAATGTAATAAATGAGACATAATATTTACAGAGCATTTTGTCGCTGTGATGTCTGTCAGAGCCAAGTAAGTAGTACGTACGTGACTTAGTGGCTCCAGACGTGTGTACGCGTACGAGACTTAGTGACTCCAGACGTGTGTACGAGTACGTGACTTAGTGACTCCAGACGTGTGTACGTGTACGTGACTTAGTGGCTCCAGACGTGTGTACGTGTACGTGACTTAGTGGCTCCAGACGTGTGTACGCGTACGAGACTTAGTGGCTCCAGACGTGTGTACGCGTACGAGACTTAGTGACTCCAGACGTGTGTACGAGTACGTGACTTAGTGACTCCAGACGTGTGTACGAGTACGTGACTTAGTGACTCCAGACGTGTGTACGAGTACGTGACTTAGTGACTCCAGACGTGTGTACGAGTACGTGACTTAGTGACTCCAGACGTGTGTACGAGTACGTGACTTAGTGACTCCAGACGTGTGTACGAGTACGTGACTTAGTGGCTCCAGACGTGTGTACGTGTACGTGGTATTCTGTTTACGAGACAACATAAGATCCCAGGAACAGTTTTCAACTGTCGTTTGCTATAAAATATCACCCTGAGCAAATTTCACAATCTGCTGTATTACATGTATTAACGTAATAGATTGAATTTCGCGTCGCTCAGTTTATGTACTGATAATGTCAATTTTCAATCAGTTTAAACCGTTTAACTGATAAGGCAGTTTGTGTGGGAATATTATTACTCACATCTAATATACTTTATATTGAGCTGAGGTTCACATAACCAGTACACTACTGGAGTAGTATTACACCACCTGGACACAACTATTGATTTCCGTACTGCGCCCTTGCCAGGGCCTTAATTCTGTATTCCAGCATTGTAAGAGGACACTCATCAATACAGGTTAAGTGCTGACACATTTAAATGTTGAAACATATTGTATAACGGCTATTTGTATAATATTTGAATAATATGCAGGAACCTAAGGAAAGTATCACTTGTTAACCAAACTGTAACCACTCATTCATGTATAATTTTCAATCTGGTATCCATTATAATATGGGTACACTGAATTGTACACAGTGTTATCTCACTCCCAAATATGACGTGATAATGGGTCACACCAGGGCCACACCAGGGTCACACAAGGACCACACCAGGGCCACACCAGGGTCACACCAGGACCACACCAGGACCACACCAGGACCACACCAGGACCACACCAGGACCACACCAGGACCACACCAGGACCACACCAGGACCACACCAGGACCACACCAGGGCCACACCAGGGCCACACCAGGACCACACCAGGACCACACCAGGACCACACCAGGACCACACCAGGACCAGACCAGGACCAGACCAGGACCACACCAGGACCACACCAGGACCATACCAGGACCACACCAGGACCACACCAGGACCACACCAGGACCACACCAGGACCACACCAGGGTCACACCAGGACCACACCAGGACCAGGTAAGTTATTTGAAAGGTAGGAATGTCAGGGGAGGGGCCGCTAATAAAGAGTGGGTATCACACAGGACACAGGTATTGAGGTTTACTGAAGCCCTACAGTTAGGTTATATGGACAGGCTTGTCCGTATTTTGACAATGTAATTCTAAACGCTCTAAGTAAACACGTGACCTAACACGTGACCGGCTTATTTATATGACTTCTCCATACACTCCCGATATTAACTAACTTTTTGGCCTTCTGTCCGGTATCCTTATTATTTACTAGGTTCTTTACCTAGAACAAATCTTCTCTTAAAGTATAAGTTAAATCACAGGTCAGTTTTTAAACAGTCCGTGGGAAGATATAAAATTAAGACCTTATTTGGAAATATCAAAACAACTCTATTGTATACTTTTATTGTAATTTGATAAACTAAATAAAGAATAATAATCTAAAGTAGTAATTAACTTAATTAATAAGTTAATTAGTTCTCACATGAATCCTCACATGAGTTAGACTTGTTGCTGGACTGGCCGCTGCTAAACTGAGAGTTGTTTCTCAGTTGCTGGGCTCGGAATGTCTCGAAATCCTGGGTCGTCTGTCCGTTCATATCGTACGAGGCTCCAGAGATGTACACTGCCAAGTAGTTATTAATTAGTTGGTTAGTTAATTAGTTAATTAACTTGCTAATTTAGCAGAGATGTACACTGCGAAGTAGTTAGTTAATTAGTTGGTTAGTTAATTAGTTGGTTAGTTAGTTAGTTGGTTAGTTAGTTAGTTAATTAACTTGCTAATCTAGCAGTTTGTTTAATAATAGACTTAATAACAGTCGCACTCAAGCAGCCAGTGGTCAACATTTATCGATGAAGAAAGCCGGTGATCGCACTAAAGAACCCTCACCACTGTATTGCTGGCAGGGATCCAACTACAGATCAACACACTATCACACCATTACCCAATGAATACTCACTAATGTACAAGATAATATGATATCTTACACTCACTGAACTCTTAATACGACAAATCATGCCATTTTCTCACTGTATCATGCGTTTTAACTGTATTCTTGCGGAGTAAAGGTCTAACATGCAACACGACCATAGCAACAGGATTGTTGAAAAGTAAAAATGTTAACAATACCACGTAAAGTAATATAAAGAGATATGCAAAAATATGTAAAAACCAACATACCATTGTTGATACCGATACGCTGACAAATCAGCTGTTGAGCGAGTTCTATCTGAGGTTGAGTACCCCTAACAGTGAATGCCTTCAACACTGCATCAGGTGGATTGTTCTTGTTCAGTTCTATGTGTGCTCCGGACTGCTCTATAAAACTCTTGATAGTCTCTCCTCCTGAAAATAGTTAGTTACAAATGGTACAGGAGTTATTTAAATGTTACTTTAATTAACCTTGGTAAGTTAATGGTAGGTCCATGTTCGGCTTCATGCAGCGGCTTTCAATTAATTCCCTCAGGTAAGTAGAAACTGTGAGAGTGGGCTGGTGACAACTATTAACAAGACTGCTCCATTTGCTCCATTAGAGTGCATTAAATTGAATACTTCCTAACTTCCGAAGGAAAAAGTAGATTTTAATCCCAAGCTCGAGAGTTTAATGGTACGAAATTTAAAGAGCTCTTGAAATAGATTTATTACAGTGGTCTCACTGCTATTCCACAACAAATCTTAGTCTAAAAGTCGTAAGAAAATGAGATTACAAACTTATAAGTGTTTAAACAGTCTCTTATTGTCATACAGGGCCGGGAATGTAAGGGAAATATTAGAGTAACTGTAAGAATATTAATTAAAACTGACATTCTCTCGCTTTGAGTTAATGATAGTTCCTCACCGGCAAAATATCCCGCTTTGAAATAATCCTGTTTTTAAAGCGTCTTGCAAAAGAGACAGGCCGTTAAAATATGTAATATATAGTTTCCCAGGAAACCACTGTTGGGGCTAATAATCGTTACACATTACAAGACCCTAATTAGCGTGTTGTACAGAGGGTTGATCTAATGAGGGTTGTCGTGACAACGAGGGGACCCGGGACAGTGTGCGGGGTAACGGCCACAATACAGTTACCAGACTTTCTCTTTGAGAGAGAGAGAGAGAGAGAGAGAGAGAGAGAGAGAGAGAGAGAGAGAGAGAGAGAGAGAGAGAGAGAGAGGGAGGGAGGGAGGGAGGGAGGGAGAGAGAGAGAGAGAGAGAGAGGGAGGGAGGGAGGGAGGGAGGGAGGGAGGGAGGGAGGGAGGGAGGGAGGGAGGGAGGGAGGGAGGGAGGGAGGGAGGGAGGGAGGGAGGGAGGGAGGGAGGGAGGGAGGGAGGGAGGGAGGGAGGGAGGGAGGGAGGGAGGGAGGGAGGGAGGGAGGGAGGGAGGGAGGGAGGGAGGGAGGGAGGGAGGGAGGGAGAGAGAGAGAGAGAGAGAGAGAGAGAGAGAGAGAGAGAGAGAGAGAGAGAGAGAGAGAGAGAGAGAGAGAGAGAGAGAGAGAGAGGAGGGAGGGAGGGAGGGAGGGAGGGAGGGAGGGAGGGAGGGAGGGAGGGAGGGAGGGAGGGAGGGAGGGGAGGGAGGGAGGGAGGGAGGGAGGGAGGGAGAGAGAGAGAGAGAGAGGGAGGGAGGGAGGGAGGGAGGGAGGGAGAGAGAGAGAGAGAGAGAGAGAGAGAGAGAGAGAGAGAGAGAGAGAGAGAGAGAGAGAGAGAGAGAGAGAGAGAGTGTTTTACAGTTACTGAGATGCTTTCTGTGCAGTATTTCAGATTCACACACAATATAAAGTTTCTGAAAGTCATGTATTTACAAGTTGCATTTAAAGCTATGCTGAGCAAGTATTGACTTGACGGCTACAGTCTGATGGTAAAGTGTTCAGCAACACTTCATTTAGAACTCACAGCCATTTTGACTTCAATTAAAGAATTAAATCAAAACCGAAAGTCTGTAATATACCTGGTGGGATTTAATTTGTCTCGGAATCGGGAATATGCTAGTCTCGTCACTGTAAATTTCAAATTAAAAGATAACCCCAAGAGCTAACTAAGGGCCCACCTTTTCCGATGACGAGGCCACATTTATTGGCGGGAATGTTGAGCTCGGTGATGATTGTGCCCGGTCCGAATCGGCTCTCTTTGGAGATAGCTTTCTCACAGATCTGGTTAACCTGGTACACTGCTCGCTCAACCTGAAGGGCATTAAGTTTACAAAATCATTTCTCAGATGCCAACTTTAAGATATATATCTAGCAGGAATTCGAAGACAGTGTTAGCCAGATCTTTAAGATATATTATGATCTTAATTAAGATAGCTGACTAACGTAGTCCGAAAATTTACCAACTTTAAAATTATAATATTAAATTATAAACTGTAACTAAATACCTGTTCGCGGGTTCCCTGCACCAGAACGAATCTCTCGCCCGGTACATTAGGATCCACGGTATTGAACTGCACCTTAGCTCCTGTCTCGTTCTGTATCTTACGAATAGTCTGTCCGTCTCTACCTATCACCATCCTGCGCAGGGTCATGGTTAACAAAGATAAGTACACTTCTGTTAAATTGTCTATTTAAAAAGTAGTAACTTCTGCAACCTGTGACAGCTAACAGATAGATTACAATTTACAGGTAGAGAGGAGGGAGAGAGAGAGAGAGAGAGAAAGTTATGTAATAAATCTTTTACATTTATTGAGTACTATGTAATGGGATGGAGGTGCTTTAACCATGTGTAGCCAGTCCACACCCTGGTTCTATAATATTAAAGACTTGTTTTAATTCTGAATAAAAAGGTCATAGTTAGATAAGTACACTTCTGTTAAATTGTCTATTTAAAAAGTAGTAACTTCTGCAACCTGTGACAGCTAACAGATAGATTACAATTTACAGGTAGAGAGGAGGGAGAGAGAGAGAGAGAGAAAGTTATGTAATAAATCTTTTACATTTATTGAGTACTATGTAGGATGGAGGTGCTTTAACCATGTGTAGCCAGTCCACACCCTGGTTCTATAATATGAAAGACTTTCTTTAATTCTGAATAGATAATATAAGGTCCTTACCCGACGAGATCTTTAGGAACAGGGACGTGCTGTGTAGCCTCATAGTTCTGAGAGTTCAACAAAGACACGTACGCGGAGCCATTCATCCTACCAATAACATCGTCCTTCAGTAGCTCGTTAACTAGTTCCTGAGGCGGGGAGGGTTATCTTTTACACTTCACCACGTGCTTTTCAGCCCAGTGACAGAAGTGTGAGAATTTCAGGAGGCTCGTAATTTTCAGAGCAACCTTTTTTATATTTTTTATTCTGGTGAATCCTTTGAAAAAGTCGCGAAATTTCATATCCGGTCACTTTTTTGAGATTTTCGGTAGATCCTGCACTTATTGACTCCCAAATTTGCGAAGTCATGAAACTTATATTTCCAAGCTAATCAAAACTAAACAAGGAGCTGTGAAAAAGCAGCTTGTACAACATGTTGCTAGAAAGATTTAGCCGTTTTTAAGTCAAAAAACCTCATTTCTAGACACTTTTTCGAATTCTGTCACTGGGGGTTTGAGTAACTCGTAAACCAGTTCCTGTCAAGGGAAATTGTCACTTTTTAAGCTGTTGTCGTGACCTAGTGCTTGAAATTATCCACTCGATACCAAATATAAATATTGCATGCCATCTGAAATTTAATTCAATATAAATATGAATAATAAGTTATGACTTAACCATATTAGATAAGTCAGATGATCTAAATGATTAACCTTAGCTTTAAGAATAGCCTGAGGAGATCCGATCATCTTCAGGGGCTTCTCAGGGGCATTAGCGTAGATCCCTTCCTGAATCATCTGCATACGGCATCCTGCTTTGTTTTGTAGATCTTTTATTGATTCTCCTCCTCTGCCAATTATCAGACCCACCTAGAGAGGTTAATGGTAATGATGGTCTCAATCAGCGGGCACGTGATCAGTAGTTAACCCTCTGATTGGTGGAGCAAACTTTGTGGTAATTGGACAATCTAGCAATTAGGGTTATTCCAGATTAGATGTAAAATGTAAGTTGTAGAGAAGAGAGAAAATTAATTTTCCATGTAAGGGTTGGTTGCTGGTTAGGCTACACAGAATATGTACACACAGTAACCTCAAACGAGCAGACCAAACCCCTGTATTTCAGACCCTAAATTATGACCAAATTACCAACCTTGTTTTGAGGTATCATTATCTCCTCTGATTCCATCGAGATCTGAGAGATGGACGTCTTCTGGAGGAGGGTTTGAAGGGAGGCCAGATCATTCGCATTTCCTGGAGAGTAGTCTGTTGCTGGTTCAGTTTAGATAATTTATAGGCATATGTGAGGAATTGAACTGCATTTGTTTATTTCTAGAGGTAAACTTAAGTTTTTTTTTAAATTGAGAGGAATTTGAACTAAAGGATAAAAATAATGAATTCCTGCACTCTTTAATTCATTGCTGACTGACCTGTGAAGTCGAGGGAAGGAAAGTTAACTGAAGGGGGTGAAGGTGTGCTGACTGGGTTATCGGAAATGATCCTCTGGATGAGCTGTTTGCACATGTCAATACTGTTCCGCGTTCCTGATAAGGTAACAGGTCGGTCGAGTGCCGGATCTGGCCCTGGCGGTTGTATCTGTACTGTGCAATTTGTTTGCTGTTGTATGTGCCTCAAGGTCTCTGCTCCCTGTAAAATGGATTATGATAAACAAAAGTTCCAAATTAGATAAAATCTAGCACAGCACAAAGCACTAAATTTCTTCAATTTGTTATTATGAGATTGAATCATTCAGTCAGCAACACTTGCAAATGGAAACTTACAGGTCCTATTAGATGACAAATGACTTTGCTTGGAACTCTAAGTTCATCTTTTATCTTTTCTTGTTGATTGAGGCCAAGAAATGGTAAGTTATTCATTGTGTTCATTGTATTATTCTCAGAAATGAACATCACCTAAGAATGGGATTGGAATATTAAATGTTACGGGTAAACCGCCCCTAAAACGTCACCTGTTTTTTGGGCCCAGATTGCTGAGTTAGGGCTAAATTTACAGGGTTCTGAAGTGTCTAGGAATAATATTTAAACCTTTTTCTAGCCTGCCAGGAAGATTTGGAAATTTGAAAATAAAATCAGGTACAATTTTTTTGACGTTGAAATGGAGTCACTTTTAAAACACCACCCCTAAAATGTCAACTCTATATGTGTGATAATTACAAAATGTACAGGAGGCCTGATTTATATTTTGTCACTAGTACTATTTGTTTTGTCTTATTAAAACATTAAGCTACTTGAAAACATTCACTCACTAAAGGAAGTACCTCAAAACCGTAATCACCCCCTAAAATGTCACGTGCACCACCCCTAAGACGTCAGCTAAAACAGGTTGTGTAGCACTTGACAGAATATATATATAATATACTTGACAGAATGTTGCTCAATTATTAATTTTAACCACTTCTGGGACAAATATAACCTATTTCTGAGAGGTGTCGACCAGAATTTCTCTCTCTGTTGAAAAAAAATGGTGGAATTTAGTCAATTTACTTTTTGCGACATTTTGGGGACTTTTTTTTTCAATACCCAGAACTTACGGCAAAACAGTAACTCAGTCAACAAAATTTACACCTGTAGTTAGATTATCTAGTTATAAACTAACGATTGGCACAAAAGAAATGAATTCAATGTGATTTTAACCTTGTGCAAATTGCATGTTTTAATTGCATTTTTTGGGATTTTTAACATCATCCTGCATTTTGGCAATTTTAGTGACCTGCTCGTTAACTAAGCCAACCCAGTAATCGATCTGACCTTCTCTTATAGACTAGATTTGACTGCTTTTAGCAAAATTGAATGTCAAAAACTACGGTTTTTGGTACTTACTAGTTTATGGTTAACCTATGATATGCCCCCTAAAATGTCATTTTTTTCTCCCCTTAAATGTCAAATTTGTATTTTGTTCGCATGGTGTTAGAATTAGAATTAGAATTAAATTTGGTGTGCGATAATAGCTCTTGTTTTGGCACTTGTTAATTATTAACATCAACTATTAACGAAATGTGAGTATGCATTGCATCTTAGGAAAAGCCTGAGTAATTTGATCAGGTTAAAATGACATTTTAGTGGGGATAATTAGACATTTTAGGGGATGTTTATTGCAATTAATAAAATAAAACTAATTCCTTGAGCTGCCAAAGCTTTCTAATATTACCATTAGATGCTAAATATGATGTTTAATAGGCTGGTACCTCCATTTTATGGTGCTTGTAGTCTCGAAGCCAGAATCTGATAAAATGACATTTTAGGGGGCGGCCAGGTGACCTTTTAGGGGAGGGTAGTAATATTGAGTAATGTATAACTTTCCATATCTCCAGTCATATGTACAAAGTTGCTAAAATATGTAAATATCACTATAGCTATCCTAGACCAAAACTGAGTTAATATTAATGAATTCCAGAGTTATAAAATTGCGCGCTTTTTTGCAAAAGTAAAAAATTCGTACAAAGTGAAAAAAATGCCCTTGTGGCATCATTTAGATTCAATTTCAGGATGTGGCAGGGTCTGAATGATATTTTTTTATGTTTAGGAGTTACAAATGATTAGGTAAGATACTTTCTAAGAAGATGGGATCCAATCAATCAAGAGTGGCGTTTTAGGGGTGGCTGACATTTTAGGGGCGGTTTACCCGTAAGTTATTATACTAGATGTTTTATATATACAATGTTTTATTTACAAAACACTATAGACACATTTTGTATTTCTGTATTCTAATTCTTATAGACAGTCAGCCGTCTGGACAAGGAAAAGGTGAACTTTCTAGTACAAATTGAAATAATACAAGTGACATTTATGAATAGTATGGCAAAGTTAAACCGCCGACTTTGGGGAAAGTAAAATCCCTGGTAAATGAGGGTTTGCGGGACCCAGGGGGGGGGGCTCGCTTATGGTTACGTTTAGGACTTTTAGAAATTGCACTAAATTCATGTATTGAACACCATATTTTTGACCCCCCCCCCCCCCCCCCTCCTGTAATTTGGGGGAAAGGAATCACCTGCAGCCAGCAGCTTGGTAAATCAAGGTTTGCGTTAAATCAGGGTTTTACTGTACTATGTTTGCAGTTTAATATTTTTTATTAATCGACAGAAAAATGTGTCACAATTGTGTTTGCAGTACAATACAATGTATCTGTTCTGAAGGGGCATCCTAAGAAGATTCTTGATCAGAGCCCCTCTTTATTTAACCCTAAATCACGTTTCCAAAACATTTGGCTGAGTCAATCGAGGAGACATTCACATTACACAGATAATTTGTAATTTCAAACAGTTCCAGGGGATCCTTAACTATCTCCCTAGAATAAGTGACACCAGGATTTGAACCACTAGGCCACCTAGTTAATCAGTAAATGTTTACTGTGCAATGTAGAGATTTACATCATAACTGTTAAATTTTTAGAAAGATACACATCATGATCAGGAGGGGGATCTAATTTAGCCCAAATTTTGATTTTTTTAATTTTATGATTTGGTTGTCCCTGTACATTTTGGGGACTTTTTTTCATTACCCAGAACTTACGGCAAAACAGTAACTCAGTCAACAAAATTTACACCTGTAGTTAGATTATCTAGTTATAAACTAACGATTGGCACAAAAGAAATGAATTCAATGTGATTTTAACCTTGTGCAAATTGCATGTTTTAATTGCATTTTTTGGGATTTTTAACATCATCCTGCATTTTGGCAATTTTAGTGACCTGCTCGTTAACTAAGCCAACCCAGTAATCGATCTGACCTTCTCTTATAGACTAGATTTGACTGCTTTTAGCAAAATTGAATGTCAAAAACTACGGTTTTTGGTACTTACTAGTTTATGGTTAACCTATGATATGCCCCCTAAAATGTCATTTTTTTCTCCCCTTAAATGTCAAATTTGTATTTTGTTCGCATGGTGTTACAATTATCAAATAACGGAGTAGTTCGCTGTTTATTAGTCTCATGATTGAAATACTGATATCTGGATATTATCCGGTTGGAAGAGACAAGGACAAGTGAAACAAGGAAGTTAGGAGTAAGGGCAAATTTTCGGCGTCAACGCCATCTTCAGGCTCAAATTATTTGTTATATAGTAGTGTTGAAAGTATTAAAACTTTCAACACTACTATATAACAAATAATTTGAGCCTGAAGATGGCGTTGACGCCGAAAATTTGCCCTTACTCCTAACTTCCTTGTTTCACTTGTCCTTGTCTCTTCCAACCGGATAATATCCAGATATCGGTGTTAGAATTAGAATTAGAATTAAATTTAGTGTGCGATAATAGCTCTTGTTTTGGCACTTGTTAATTATTAACATCAACTATTAACGAAATGTGAGTATGCATTGCATCTTAGGAAAAGCCTGAGTAATTTGATCAGGTTAAAATGACATTTTAGTGGGGATAATTAGACATTTTAGGGGATGTTTATTGCAATTAATAAAATAAAACTAATTCCTTGAGCTGCCAAAGCTTTCTAATATTACCATTAGATGCTAAATATGATGTTTAATAGGCTGGTACCTCCATTTTATGGTGCTTGTAGTCTCGAAGCCAGAATCTGATAAAATGACATTTTAGGGGCCGTCAGGTGATTTGGTTGTCCCTGTATTGCAACTAGCAGAGACATTGATGTTAGGAAAGGCCTTGCTTTGAAAGCCCTGCAGAGTCTAGATGCTTTCTAGAAATCTGACATGTCTAGGAAGATCAAGACCAAGATTTTTAGAACCGCAGTGGAACCTGTTCTTCTGTATGGCGCAGATAAGTAAACTCTGAAGAAAGCTGACACTAGAGCACTAGACGGGGTCTATACAAGAATGCTACGAATGGTCTTTGGTGTTTCGTGGAAATCTCACACACCAAACTCCGTTCTATACGGAAATATTCCACCGGTGACAGGTACCATAAAGACAGAACAACTTTGTTTTGCAGGACATGTGTACCGTCTGCAAGACCAACCTGCTCAGCAAATCCTTTTCTGGCAACCATCCTATGGCCATCGGTATAGAGGACGACCACATAAGACCTTTCCGGACGTCCTACAAGAAGATACTGGATTGGATCCTGATAAGTTACGTTGGCTAATGAGTGATAGAGATAAATGGAGAGAAGCGCTGTCACGAAACTCGTTTCAGATTTCATCTGGATCGACCTAGGCAGGTAGGCAGGGTATTGCTGAACTGCATAACAATAAACAACTGCTTACTGCAGACAGTGCTCCAGCAATGTAAAACTTTTGACTAAATGAGGAATACAGCAAGACATCATTAATAATTTGAAAATAGTTTGGGACAAGCTCTTTAGACACCAATGCAAAACGATCATGAAAGACGTGACATCAACCACTCAGGGACAACTAGAAGACTTCGTTTAAAAAGAAGCTTCTGTCTAAAAATCGTTTGGCTGTGTGCTTAACAAGAATGTTTTAACATAATATCCCTCAGGTATTAATTTATACTTTCGGCTGCCGACAGATGTCAATGAAAGAAGGCATTTTAAGACTCTCACTAAAATACTGCACAATGTTGAACGACCATAAATCAAATTGAATCCTACAAATTCGGTTTAGTGTTGGAGAGTCGGACGTGCCCCAAGGACTACTTGTTGCTGATTCTAGTCAAAGCAACATTCATTACCAGAAGTACGTCTCCAGGATGGAAACGATTAACAAAATATCTCCTAATATTTTTACTTTGGGTTAGAAGATAACATTGCAGCATAGGCTTTTCTAATCCTATGGACGTCTGCACGTACTCTGATACTCTACTTTTTAAGTAGTTTGATAGTTTAGAAACTTTATGCACGCCTCCCTATTAGTAGAGGCTCTTACGGGCAAAAAGACGTGTTTTCTGCTACGAGTTTAGAGACCTAACCGCTAATTGGACACAATAGTATGATGTCTAAGGATCGATAATATGTTAAGAAGTATAAATTTGGCCTTATTAGTCACGTGCTATACCAATGCGCGTTTTAAACTTTGACAGTCTATTACTCTAAGGCAAATAAAGTAATTATATCCATATTTTGTCAGCAATAAGATCACATTATTTTCTATTTAGTGTGAAAATATGAGCTAGAACGGACATAATCTCGCTGAGTTATAGCTGTTTGAAATTTATGATGAACGCGCGGGTGCCAATTGATAACAACTAAATGCTTTTGCGCGTAGTGCGCGTCGAAAATTTGGCAAAAACGCTTGCGGAGTGACAATATTCAAACTTCGATTAAGTATATGAAGTGGGTACTTCTCGGAAAGGAAAAATTTAGGCAAACACGATGTGACTATTTTTGGGTTGATTTAATACAACTGCAAAAAATTATTCAAACTTAAAGCAAAAAAGTCAAAATTTTTACCACTTTTTTGGATTTTTACCTCAGAACAAATAGAGGGATTTGTTTTATTTTTATACAATCTTGTGCGGCTGTCTTTTAGCTATCTTTATGCAAGTTTTGCCGACATGCCAACAAAATTAACTTGCTCAAAATATCAAAAAACATGGTTTTTTGGCCTATTTTTGGCCCAAAAATCGGTTTTTTGCGATTTTACCCCAGAACAATCAGTCCAATCATCTTGAAACCACTTTCAATCGATTCTACGGTCAAAAATACGTCTAGTAAGGTGTATCTGGGGTCCCTAACGTATCGAGCAGACAATGCCCGTAAGAGCCTCTACAATCATCAATTTTTTAAGTTTAGTTATCCGATCATTCAGTTGAGTCTACCATGATGACTATATATATCAAATATAGACTCAATTAAGTCCTTAACAAATTGCAGAACAAAACAACTCCAATCTACTAGTGGGATATTTATCACAAGTAGGGTTTGCAAAGACGTCATAACGAAGCTGCACGCTGCAAATTCTGCATCCACGACACTGAAACTACCATGTATATACCAAACGTCGACAAGGGCCACGAAACGTGTTAAAAACACATTCAGCATATGAACTATAAAACCAGCAAAAACACCAATACAGACAACAGAATTCAGCCTAATTATATTTACAATTTATGTGGTTTCCTTTTTCTTGTTCCTTTCTCTGTTGTATGTTGTAAAAGCTTACATTACCTAGTTTACCAGTTTACTGCTCGCTCTTCTCGCCGATGTAGCATGCAGAAGTTTGACCGCGTGCGTGAAAAAAGCGTGCGCACAGGGATTGGCGTGCCAGGTAAAACATAAAAGCTTGCCCAGTTTGCTCGTTGCTGGTAATTAATATTTATATCATGTGTCATGACTCACTTTCCTCGCGTATACAATATCAATTAGTCATTAATACTTGACTTGTAGCGCGATGCACTACTTGGCCGCGCCGCGCATCAAATAATTCTTCTCGCAACCACTTCGGTAGATCGGCGAGATGCACCACTGGCCCACTTAACTGGTTGACGGATGTTACTCGTCTAAATTTCTTTGAAGTAGCGCGCGCCGCTTTCTTCTCGAAATGGCCCGATGGCAAGTGCTACGAAGTAGCGCGCGCCGGGCCAGATCATTAACAATGGTCAAGCCCACTGGGCCTTGCCGCGCTGCAAAGGATTGACATCGTGAATCAAATGCTTGATATATAAACGTTGCAACCTCTTTTAACGCGCGCGAAGTGATCTGCGGCATCAGGCATCTATGATCTATTTAAGAAAACGTAAATGATATACTACAAGTAAATTAAAATGTATGACATAACATATATTATATATATATCATATATCATATATATAATAATCTTGATCACATATTTCTAGTCGTTTTCACTTAATCGCTCGCGCGCGCTCGCCCAAATTTAAAAAAAATTCTTGTGAAAAGGCCCGGAGGGTATATGAAAATAGTCTAATTCAGTATATTTTGGACGTTGAATTCGAATCACCTCTGATGACGTAAAGTAAAAATGCAGAGTTATGGGCAAAAACTGTTTTGGTTACGTGACAGGTTAGTACAACACGAATTCAATTGTTTAGGGCTCGGGTTAGGATTAGGGTTGTAGTTAGGGATATGGATATTAACGGGTGATACTCGTAAAATATCTGTTCCATATATTTAATTGGACCGTCGACGAGTCCAACTCGGCGCGCGTCCTGGTAGGTTGTAAACCTACAATATGGATAGAGCAAAAACGAGCTCAAAATGCAATTGTTTTTTCCGTAAAAAGCACTAAATGGCGTGAGTATTGCTCTTACCAGAGCCCTCTCGCTTGCAGTAGCGCGCTCGCGTACAAGTACGTGCGTTACGCAGTAAGCGTATATGGTATAGTTATGGTATACACATGTTTATGTGAAGCGTGAGTAGCTTCGTAAAAAAATTTACATAGCCATGTGTCTATAGGTACTGCGTGACATACTTGTTTCACAAGTATATAGTTTGCTCTAACCAGATCAGAGCCCTCTCGCTTGCAGTGTAACAAGCGCGTCACGCAGTACACGTATACACATGGCTATGTGAAGTATATAGTAGTTGATTCACGATGTCAATCCTTCGCATCTCGCCGATTTGTGGTTGCGAGAAGCAATGAAGCATATTGGATGCGCGCGCGGCCCAGTAGTGCATCGCGCTACAACACAAATACTGTACAAGTAGCGGCGGTCGCGCGGTACTGCATAAGGGCTTTGGTCAGAGCAAGTGAAAAATAAAGCAAGTTATAAAATCATGTTATTTGTTATTGTTTGTTATGCGTATCAATAATCAAATTAGATGTGCCTTGGCCTTCGCGGGAATTATAGCCGCCCAAGAAATTAAGTGAATTTCCTCCTCCTCCTCCTCCTCCTCCTCCTCCTCCTCCTCCTCCTCCTCCTCCTCCTCCTCCTCCTCTCCTCCTCTCTCCTCCTATCTCTCTCCTCCTCTCTCCTCCTCGCTCCTCCTCTGTCCTCCTCCTCCTCCTCCTCCTCCTCCTCCTCGTCCTCGTCCTCCTCCTCGTCCTCCCCCTCCCCCTCCTCGTCCTCGTCCTCGTCCTCGTCCTCGTCCTCGTCCTCGTCCTCCTCGTCCTCGTCCTCGTCCTCCTCCTCCTCCTCCTCCTCGTCCTCGTCCTCGTCCTCGTCCTCGTCGTCGTCCCCTCACTCCTCCTCCTCCTCCTCCTCCTCCTCCTCCTCCTCCTCCTCCTCCTCCTCCTCCTCCTC